GACCTATTGTCATGTTTAATCCCAGTGAGAGTCAAGTTGGGAATTGATAATTTCTTTTTTTTTTTTTTTTACAGAGGATCAGTTTAGTATGCATTAAGTAAAGATTTCAACAGTTTGCACCCCCATAGAAACACAAAGTGAAATATATTGTTTGAGTACTCGTTATAGCATTAAATCTCAATGTACAGCACATTAAGGATAGAGATCCTACATGAGGAGTAAGTGCACAGTGACTCCTGTTGTTGACTTTACCAATTGACACTCCTGTTTATGGCATCAGTAGTCTCCCTATGCTCCAGTCATGAGTTTCCAAGGCTATGGAAGCCCTCTGAGTTCTCCGATTCTTATCTTGTTTAGACAAGCTCATAGTCAAAGTGGAGGTTCTCTCCTCCCTTCAGAGAAAGGTACCTCCTTCTTTGATGACCTGTTCTTTCCACTGCGATCTCACTCACAGAGATCTTTGCCAGAGTGTCTTGGCTTTCCATGCCTGAAATACTCTCATGAGCTTTTCAGCCAGCTCCGAAACACTCTTGAAGCACTTCTGCTGCATATATTGGGTTTTTGTTTGTTTTCGGTGATTTAAGCAAGAATAATAAAACGTAGAGAAAAATGTCCTTCAAAACTATAGCTCCCAACATTTCTTTTAGAATATAAGTACTGGGGCTGGTGCTGTGGCGTAGTCGGTTAAGCTTCCGCCTGCAGTGCCAGCATTCCATGTGGGCATTGGTTCAAGTGCCAGCGGCTCCTCTTCTGATCCAGCTCTCTGCTAATCTCCTGGGAAAGCTGAGAAAGATGGCTCAAGGGCTTGGGCCCCTGTAACCCTGTGGGAGACTATATGAAGCTTCTGGCTTCTGGCTCTGGCCATTGCAGGCATTTGGGAAGTGAGCCAGCAGATGGAGGATCTCTCTCTCTCTCTCTCTCTCTCTCTCTCTCCTCCCTCTCTCCCTCTCTCTGTCTGTAACTCTACCTCTCAAATAAATAAATAAATCTTTAAATATATATATATATATAAGTACTGACTACAATTATTCATTAAACATACAAAAATCCACATTTTGGAATTTCAGGAAAAATCCTAATAACTTAGCTCTTGAAAACAATTGCTGATACAGTTTTTAGAGTTAAATAGTTTATATTCTTTCCTAATAGGACTTCAGACCCCTTCCAGCTGCAATTGCTGACAGTTTTTGGGGAAGAATGGGTTTATAGAAGTGCCAACTAGATGTTACAATAAGATACACAACTCCAGGATCCAAGAACATTAGCAAGCAGGCAAGAGTAGACTGTTTGCACGTTATGTTCTAACATTAACACTCAGCTGCCAGCAGTGGTCACATGGGAACAGGTTTCTTTGTAGAAAAATGCTTTGAAGCTTAGAAGAGTCTTTGAAGGAGAGCAGATGCCCAAATAGAGCTCCAATTCGTCAAGCATAGCAAAATAAAAAAAAAGTATAAACAAAGATTTTTTACACCAAAGCAACATAGTTATACTTTTTTTTTTTTGCTTTTGAGAGTCATCATTAAAATATGTAAATGATTCAGTCACAGGGGAAATCACCTAAATCTACCATATCCTGGGTTCTTCTGTTACTACTCAGCTGGTTTCATGTTTCAAGACTTTTAGGTTAAAAGTCTAATGACAGTGTTTTTTGGGTAACAACTTCTGGGGTAAGTCTTATTTTAAATTTCATGATACAAAGATTGTATCCACTAGAAGATTAGCTCCAAGAGGTAAGGGGTTTTTAATTTTATGTAACTGCTGTAGTCCCAGAACCTAATATACATAGCACATTTTAGGTACTTATTAAATACTTTTGGATAAATGAATGAATAATAACAATGTGCTGATGTGTTTAGCTCTCATAGGAAAGTATCTGCAGAATATGTCAAAATGAAGGACCCAATAAGGCAAAGCTTTAGACACTGAAATATGTCCTTGGTGACCTTCATGAAAGTCGGCACCATCACGGTTTTATGTAAATAACATATATTTGACTCAAACTATTTTACTGTCCTCGATATAATATGTTTATACCCTGCTCAATAAGATAGAGTGTAAAACATTAATGATCTGAATAAATTACTTCAAGAAAGATAAAAATCTCTCTCCTGATCCAGCCCATCACTTTATCACACAGCATCACTGGGACCAGGACTATCTGACCTCACAGCTCATATGCCCACATACTCTATCCCGTCATGCCCAGGGCTGTTGGGAACAATGCATGAAACTGTTGATTGCTCTCTTCCTTTGTAGTCCCACCACTGCTACAGTTTTCAGAGGAATTCTGCAGCATTTGAAAAGAACTCAATATGTATTTGAGTTTATCCAGGTTTGAGTATGGAGACTTTTATTTCTCACAGCTAGTCATCAGATCTAATTTGCTACAGGAGCCTACCTTGATACTTTCTTAGCCAGGTCAAGTCATACTCCTCTCTATTACCATAATATCTTGAGCTTCTTTCAGAACATCTCATTTATTTAGAATTCTGCAGAGAGATAGAACCTACACACTATACATATTGATAGATGAGGGGGAGCAGGTTTCTTAGGGTGATTGGCTAACGAGGAGTCTCCAATAGGCCACTTGCAGGCTGGAGACCCTGGAACACCACCACATGGCTCATTCCAAGTCTGAAGGCCTCAGAACCAGGGAAATTGAAGGCATAATTGTCATTTTGTACTTAAAAGCCTGAGAACCAGTGCAGTTCACTAGGTTACATCCTGGAGTCCAAAGACCAGAAAGCCTGGAGTATTGATGGCCAAGGCCTTAGGGGAAAAAAAAGTCTACTCCAGTTCCCAGAGAAGAGACTAACTTGCCTACATGTTCATTCTCTCAGTTGGGTCCCAGACAGTTGGTGGTACCTGGCCACAGTGAGGGCAGATCTTCCCTACATAACTCACTCGGAATCACATTTCAATTTCCTCTGGAAACACCCTCATACGTACATCCAAAATAAGGCTTTGCCAGGTTTCTAGACATCTCTTAATCCAGTCAAGTTGACACCTAAAATTAAATGTCATGAATCCAGATTGTACTGAAATCATCAGTGAGTTGATGTTTCCCCACTAAACTCCAAGTTTCTTGAGAAACCGTATCTTATTTCTCCTTAACATTTGCCACAGTGGATGGCACAGTACCTGGAACACAGTGGTGCCCAATAAGTGCTTGGCAAACTCCCTGATTCCTCCACATGCTTCCCTGTATGGCGAAAATGGAAGTTTGTGGCTGGAAATGTTCCTGTAATACAATGAAAGGCTCTATTGTAAAATAAGAGTTTCATGATTTTCTTCACACACATTGTTTCTGCATTAACAGAATGTTGTTCAAAATCTCAGGATGTACCCACTTGATCAGAATCTTGGTTTCAGGTTACTAAAACACAGAGAACCAGCTGAAAGGAAGACTTTATTATAAAGATGCTCACATGTCTCATGGAGTGATGCCAGCCATGAGGCTAAAGTTTTGAATTCAAGTCTCTGAGATTCAGTCTTTTGGGAAATTATACTCTCCTATATTTCTCATTATCTGCCCAAAGCCTTTTTCTCACCACTGAACAGATTCCTTAATTTTTCTTATCCACTTGAAGCAAGGCTATAAAATGCACATTTTTATACCCCAAGAACCCAAAGAACACTGACTTCAGTTCAAGTTCCCAGCAACTCTGAAAATGACTTCAATTGGCCCAACATCATTAAGTGCCCACCCTAAACCAATCAAAAAACATTGAAAGTGGAGTTCAAAATACAACCAGGGTACCGGCCAGGCAGTCCCATGGGCGTCTACCATACTTTCAAGCCTTCAAAATTTTACAAAAAGTTTTCAAAAGCAGTAATGTTCAAATTTATTTCTATTAATAATTCATGGTATAATGGAAAATTCTCAAACAAAATATGTCCATTTTGTTTTAAAAATAAATTTATTTTATTACGTGATAATATTGACAGTTTACATAATCAAGGTCTTTTAGTACATGCAAAAACAATTATATAATACATTTTGTAAAGATACAAAAATCCTTGAAATTCTTCATTGGTTTGAGAATTTCAAGAAAAACATTAACTTTCCTGGATGAAAACAAAATTCCCAAGCCTGAACTGGCTTGAGAGATTCCATTTGTCAACCAACATCAGTCAGGTAAAGAGGAATTTATGGCATTGTTTTCTATTTTTAAATGCTCTAATGGGTATTTGTGTGTCAAACTCTTTTAGTATCAAAGAAGACTGATGAATGAACCCTAAAGAGACTTTTGAAAATCAAGCATATACAACATCAATCAGCTGGATATAATGTTGCTTCAGGGTTGACCATTAAGCCAGGAGAAAAAAAATAGACGTTGAAAATTATCAGTTATTTGACTGAGCTCTTCCTAGAAGTTGAGCTACTTCTATATTCTATGTAAGCACACTGCCAGCCTCATTCAAAACACCATGCATGCTAGAAAAGGGTACACAAGTTCAGCTTTGTCTGAATTCTCTGCTTCGCTTGGGCCATGGAGTTTCCATGGCAGAGCTGAATCACAAAGATTCTGGAAAAGAAGCAGCTTGACTGACAGAAACAAAGTACAGCAATTTGGGAAGATCTTCCATTAGTTTTTGGAAGCAGTTCATGTAATCAGTGTAGAAAGTTGCATATCCTATGGGATATCGGCTAAACAGATTTCACTCTTTCAGGTTTAAAGCTGTCTTTATCAAATATGCCATGAATTTGAAGGCACACTTGGAAAGCTGGTCCCCAGTAACACATGCTATGGTCATGGTTTCACTGCACCAACATTCACCTGAGAGTAATGCGCATGCTGTTGTTTAGAAGAACAAAGTGAGGATGTGGTTCCAGCCAGCCTCTGCCTGGGCCCTCTGGTGCAATCACTGACATATTTAGACTCTTCCAGTGCTGTTACTTGCACTCTACTGAGGGTAAACACTGGCCTGGGGCTTAAAGGACCGGAGGCATTTACTTCTCCATCTCTATTCATTACCATGGCTATGGGGCAAATCTGTTTGCTTTAAAAATAAGAATTTATTCATGTCACTGAGAATTTATAAAGAAACAAAGAAACATTAAAAGTTCTCTACAGAAAGCATGATGGAAACATCAACAAAGGCCAGATTCTGCAGGTCTGTTTTTCTGCGGGGGAGTGGCCTAGTCATCTCAGAATCATAGCAAAACACAGTTCAGTACAAAATCATGGGCTGTATGATTGGGTTAAGTTGTGCCAACCCAGATTAACAGAAATGATGGTTATGAGCTCCAACTTTGAATTTGGGTAAATCTTGGTTCCAATACCAGTTCCATCAATTCTTAACTGTCTAAATCTGGATTTGATATTTAACTCCTTTGGGGTTGCTGTCATATCTGGGAAATGAAGACCACTGTATGTATCTCAGAGGTTATAGACAGGATGAAATGAAATAGTGTGTGTGAAATAATAGATTATAAACTCTGAGCATACACTAAGTGTTTGATAAGTGTTTACTCCATTCTTAATTCATATTTTAAGATGTATGTTCTTGGCTGGCGCCTTGGTTTGCTTGGCTAATCCTCCACCTGTGGAACCAGCACCCCGGGTTCTAGTCCCAGTTGGGGCACCAGATTCTGTCCCAGTGTGTTCCTCTTCCAGTCCAGCTCTCTGTTGTGGCCCAGGAAGGCAGTGGAGGATGGCCCAAGTGCTTGGGCCCTGCACCCGCACGGGAGACCAGGAGGAAGCACCTGGCCCTGGCTTCCGATCGGCGCAGCACGCTGGCCATAGCGGGCATTTGGGGGGTGAACCAACGGAAAAGGAAGACCTTTCTCTCTCTCTCTCTCTCTCTCTTTCTAACTCTGCCTGTCAAAAAAAATTTAAAAAAAGATGTATATTCTTCCCCCCTCCTCAATTTGCCTGAAAGTGGAAGTGCATTGAAATTTTCCCTATTACTATTGCTACCTAACCAGGTACTTTTTTCTCAATTACTATACAATAATAATATTATTTTTATTATCAAAAAACAGTAACAAATAACACAAACTAAAGTTACAAATAAAAAGTAAATATATTATTTAAAATCCCTTTCTACTAGCTGTTTTCCTGAGACACGTTCTGTCCATTTTCAATTAAGCAAGGCATTTGCAGCTTCGCCATCAGCCTGGAGGAAACTTCATAGGCTGCAAGAATGGAGAAAACACAAGTGACATTCAAGGAAATGTGCTATGTACAAAGGATAACAAAAAAATACCTAGAACCAGCACTTTTATTTTCAATTCATTGTCGTCCTGGTAATAAGTTAGGAGGACATTAAAAGCTCTCAACAAGCATTTACCATCCCCCAGGAGATTTCTGGGGTTTTCTTGGAGAGGAGGTTCTTTTATAGCTGTGAGAGCTATGGTAAAGTCACTGCTCTCTCCTACTATGTGGGGAAGCATGTGGCCCCACTTGCCACTGGCCTCTCTTTAACGCAGCAGGACCCAGGCAAGAATGAAGACAATGCTTTGAACAGTGAGCAAGACAGAAAAATCATGTTTCCTTCAGTGTGTGCCTCTGGTTCAACCAAGCGTGAAACTTACCTTCCCTCTGACTGCCATTCAGGTGAATTAATCCATCACCCTAATTTTTAGCCAGTTGAGTTGTCTTTGAGGTTTTTAGAACCCAAAGTATCCTGCTTAGCTGTGCTAATTATGCACCGTGGCTGCCTTTGCCACCTTTCCCTGTCCTGCCCTGTCTCCAGGGGCCAATTGCTGCTGAGCCCATCCCCAGAGCTCCATGGCTCTCAGACTCTCGTGGGCTCCAGCTAGTAGGAGGCACTTGCTGAAACTCTGAAGGCAGGAGGAAAGCTTGGCTACTTCTTGCCTATCTCCTCTCCATCTTGTTTAGATTCCCACAGTGGCCATTCCCTCCACAATCACAATTCCTGCCTGGGGCTGTCTGCCAGCGTGCCTCTGAGTGCTAAGTAACACTAGCTCCAGCCTTTCCTGGTAAAGGAATGGCAGCTCCTTACCATTGCCTGACTCAAGGAGCCTCAGCAGTCCTGCGGGTTCCCTTAGCCCTCAATGTCACAGTCCCTTCATCAAAATCTATTGGATAATCCAAGAGGATATTTGATCCCTACTGGGATTCTAACTGGTATAACATTTGACACATGACTCTACTGGGATTCTAACTGGTATAACATTTGAAGAGCTTATGACAGTGCTTGGCATATGGTAAATGCTCAATAATTGTATCTATTATTAAGACCTTTTTTTTCCATGTTTTTAAATTTTATTTTGTTTATATAAAGGGAACAAACCTCAAATGTGCAGTTTTAAGAAGATAATGATACTTCTCATCTTACCCTCCCTCCTTCCCTTGCTACTACCCTCCCTTCTCTTTCCTTTCTTATTTTTCTTTCAATTTTTGCAATGACATACTTTCAATTTACTTTATAATCGCAAGCTTAATCTTCTGCTAAATAAAGAATTCAACAAGTAGCAAGTAGAAAAACCACTGATCCTCAGTAGTATAGACAAGAACTATAAACTATATAGTCAAGTCACAAAATGTCAATTTCATTCACATGCATTGCAGGTTTTCGTATTCTATTGGCTACCACAAACCAGAGAAAATGTGATATTTGTCTTTTGGCGAGCAGCTTATTTCACTAAGCACCACAGTCTGCACCTGCATCCATGTGATTTCCTTTCAATGTGACATTCTAAATTAAAATATTTCTTCTGTATGCCCCAAAATGAGGCAAAGCAGAATTTAAATAGCCACCACCATCACCATGCAAATTAAGTGTCTGTTTCGGTGGGAATATGAGAAGAAAAGTAACAGAAAGTTTTTTAGTGGCCACAGATTGCATGAAAAACTATCAATTTATTTTAAGTGTTTTAAACATAATCAAATTCCAAACAATGACCTGTTAAAATAAGCCCCATCTTGCCACTTAAAGATCATTTAAATAGTTTCTCACCTATCAAGTTCAACGCACTTACCACTAAGTAATATTAGTTTCTTCAATATCTTCATTTATAGGAGTTATATCTTTACCCAGAGTTTCCATTTCTTCTTCCTTCTTCCTTCTTTTACGATGTTTCCGGAGAGGACTTAGAAAATAACATGTTAGAAATTAGTGTGGGCCTGTTAGTTCATGGGAATATAAACTTATTTGTCAGAGAGTCTACGACCTCATTTCTATAATGCTTAAAATATATAGGTTCTTTTCTTCTTGAGCATTTTAGGTTCTCTGTTAACCCACCTCTTTCTCTGGGCTCAAATGAAAGCTACAAGAGACAATCGTGTATGAAGCATATATATGATGATCTGTACATAGTTATCTATTGGAAAAGTCATAGAACCTAATATTTTATGGAGCTTGATTAGCACAAGAACATGTTCAGGCCAAGAGATTACAAAATGTACTGATGAACATTATATACTATGTCATGTGTAAACAAGAAATAGTACAAATTGAAAACATGAAGAAGAAAACCAAAAGTGTTGGTAGCTTCTGCATATATCAATTAAGCTTCTAGATACATTGATTAAGAAACATGTTAAATATTCTAGACTGCAGTCTAGTTTTCTTTAAGAGTAGTTCAACATTAGTATAACCAAAGAGGCCACTTCACAGTCCTGCCCAAATGATTTTCTGCCCAAACCTGGTACTAGAAACATCCCTGAGGCCAGCGCTGTGGCATAGCAGGTAAAGCCACTGCCTGCAGTGCCGGCATCCCATATGGACACCAGTTCTAGTCCTGGCTGCTCCACTTCCGATCCAGCTCTCTGCCATGGCCTGGGAAAGCAGTGGAAGACGGCCCAAGTCCTTGGGCCCCTGCACCCCCTTGGGAGACCTGGAGGAAGCTCCTGGCTGCTGGCTTCAGATCAGCACAACTCCAGTCATTGTGGCCAGTTGGGGAGTGAACCAGTGGATGGAAGAACTCTGTCTCCTTCTGCCTCTCTTTCTCTCTCTGTGTAACTCTAACTTTCAAATAAATGAATTGATCTTAAAAAAAAAAAAAAAAAAAAAGGCAGTCAACATAAGTCCACCCTGTCTCAGGAAAAAGAGTTTCATTGGATAGTACTAATTAATAATGAAATATTCGGGGCCGGCGCCATGGCGCAGTGGGTTGACGCCCTGGCCTGAAGTGCCAGCATCCCATATGGGCGCTGGTTCGAGACCTGGCTGCTCCACTTCCGGTCCGGCTCTCTGCTGTGGCCTGGGAAAACAGTGGAAAATGGCCCGGGGCCTTGGGCCCCTGCACCCGTGTGGGAGACCCAGAGGAAGCTCCTGGCTCCTGGCTTCGGATCGGCGCAGCTCCGGCAGTTGCAGCCAATTGGGGAGTGAACACCGGATGGAAGACCTCTCTCTCTCTCTCTCTCTCTCTCTCTCTGCCTCTCCTCTCTCTGTGTAACACTGAATTTCAAATAAATAAATAGATCTTTAAAAAAAAATAATGAAATTTTCTCAAAAACCATCCCTTCCCACCATGAAGTAGGTAAAATAAAAAAATCTCTTAATTTTATATCTAAAAGGAAGATTACAGATTATCTGGTTTAATAGTCTCATTTTACAAAAAATAAAAGTAAGGCTCAAAGCTGTTAAGCAATATGCTCAAGTTCTCAAAGGCGTATAATGACAAAGTCGAAGGTTCCCTCTATGCTAGTGTTTCTTTTTATTTTCCCCCAAGAACATTGTGGCAAAAAGAATCATGAGAGACAGCTTCCATCAGTGTGGACCATAGTACAGATGTGGATGGAGTAGTCTTGTCATCATATGCGTCTTCCATGAGCCTTCTGAAAGCCTCACACAGATGCGAGAGTTTAGGAAGCTGGTTTAACTTCACAAGCGAAAAGTATAATACTATGATAAAGGACCTTTTGAATACACTGGTAGTCTTGCTGATAAAAAATGGTAGATTTCCAAAATAAGCTATCTTAGTGAAGAATTGTTTGAAGTCACTCTACCTCAGAGAAAAACAAGGTGTTTCTTCATTCATAAATGCAGTAAATAAATAAATAACAATATAATCATTATTTGTGTATAAAATTCATTATTTTAAAGTTACCGAGAAAAAATGCTTTTGTTGGTTTCTAGCTGTCAATATTATTGTGTATGGTACAATATGAAAAAATAAAAGTCTTATTTAGCATACTAACAAACACTAAACATAGCTGAGTTTAGGACTAAATGATTTATCAGTTATAAGTTGTACATATTTTGCTTTATAGCATCATAATTGTTTAGTAAAATAATAAAAATCATGTGTTGTTTGTGTGTTTTATTGTACATAAATACTTTTTTCATTTTTTTAACTTTTATTTAGTAGATATAAATTTCCAAAGTCCAGTTTATGGCTCCCCCCCCCCCATAATTTCCCTCCCTCCTGCAACCCTCCCTTCTCGCACTCCCTCTCCCATTCCATTCACATCAAGATTCATTTTCAATTCTCTTTATATACAGAAGATCAATTTAGTATATATTAAGTAAAGATTTCATCAGTTTGCCCCTACACGGAACACAAAGTGCAAAATACTGTTTGAGCGCTAGTTATAGCATTAATTCACATTGAACTACACATTAAGGACAGAGATCCTACATGAGGAGTAAGTGCACAGTGACTCCTGTTGTTGACTTAAAAAATGGTGCTGAAATTCATATGGAGGCACAAGAGACCTCAAATAGCTAAAGCAATCTTGTACAACAAAAACAAAGCCGGAGGCATCACAATACCAGATTTCAGGACATACTACAGGGCAGTTGTAATCAAAACAGCATGGTACTGGTACAGAAACAGATGGATAGACCAATGGAACAGAATTGAAACAGCAGAAATCAACCCAAACATCTACAGCCAACTTATATTTGATCAAGGATCTAAAACCAATTCCTGGAGCAAGGACAGTCTATTCAATAAATGGTGCTGGGAAAATTGGATTTCCACGTGCAGAAGCATGAAGCAAGACCCCTACCTTACACCTTACACAAAAATCCACTCAACGTGGATTAAAGACCTAAATCTATGACCTGACACCATCAAGTTACTAGAGAACATTGGAGAAACCCTTCAAGATATTGGCACAGGCAAAGAATTTCTGGAAAAGACCCGGGAGGCACAGGCAGTCAAAGCCAAAATCAACTATTGGATTGCATCAAATTGAGAAGTTTCTGTACTGCAAAAGAAACAGTCAGGAGAGTGAAGAGACACCGACAGAATGGGAAAAAATATTTGCAAACTATGCAACAGATAAAGGGTTAATACCAGAATCTACAAAGAGATCAAGAAACTCCACAAAAACAAACCAACAACCCACTTAAGAGATGGGCCAAGGACCTCAATAGACATTTTTCAAAAGAGGAAATCCAAATGGCCAACAGGCACATGAAAAAATGTTCAAGGTCATTAGCAATCAGGGAAATGCAAATCAAAACCACAATGAGGTTTCACCTCACCCCAGTTAGAATGGCTCACATGCAGAAATCTACCAACAACAGATGCTGGCGAGGATGTGGGGAAAAAGGGACACTAACCCACTGTTGGTGGGAATGCAAACTGGTCAAGCCACTATGGAAGTCAGTCTGGAGATTCCTCAGAAACCTGAAGATAACCCTACCGTTCGACCCAGCCATCCCACTCCTTGGAATTTACCCAAAGGAATTTAAATTGGCAAACAAAAAAGTGGTCTGCACCTCAATGTTTATTGCAGCTAATTCACAATAGCTAAGACCTGGAACCAACCTAAATGCCCATCAACGGTAGACTGGATAAAGAAATTATGGGATATGTACTCTTTAGAATACTATACCGCAGTAAGAAACAACGAAATCCAGTCATTTGCAACAAAATGGAGGAATCTGGAACACATCATGCTGAGTGAAATAAGCCAGTCCCAAAGGGACAAATACTATATGTTCTCCCTGATCGGTGACAACTGACTGAACACCAAAAAGGAAACCTCCTGAAGTGAAATGGACACTATGGGAAATAGTGACTTGATCAGCATAGCCCTGACTGTTAATGAACAACTTAATACATTATCCCTCTTAGTAGTTTTTTTATCTGTTCTACTTAATATGACTGGTTTAATTCTGTAATTATCACACAGTTATTCTTAAGTGTTGAAAATTAACTGAAATGTGATCCCTGTTAAACATAAGAGTGGGAATAAGAGAGAGAAGAGATGTATAATTTGGGACATGCTCAAGCTGACTTGCCCCAAATGGTAGCGTTAGAAACATACCAGGGGATTCCAATTCAATCCCATCAGGGTGGCATGTACCAATGCCATCTCACTATTCCAAGTGATCAATTTCAGTTCACAATTGATCATAATGAAAGGACTAAGAGTCAAAGGGAGCACATAAACAAGTCTAGTACCTGCTAATACTAACCGATAGAATAAAGAAAGGGGAGAGTGATCCAACATGGGAAGTGAGATACTCAGCAGACTCATAGAATGGCGGATGTCCTAAACAGCACTCTGGCCTCAGAATCAGCCCTAAAGGCATTCGGATCTGGCTGAAAAGCCCATGAGAGTATTTCAGGCATGGAAAGCCAAGACACTCTGGCAAAAGATCTCTGCGAGTGAGATCCCAGTGGAAAGAACAGGTCCTCAAAGAAGGAGGTACCTTTCTCTGAAGGGAGGAGAGAACCTCCACTTTGACTATGACCTTGTCTAAACAAGATAAGAGTCGGAGAACTCAGAGGGCTTCCATAGCCTTGGAAACTCATGACTGGAGCATAGGGAGATTACTGATGCCATAGACAGGAGTGTCAATTGGTAAAGTCAACAACAGGAGTCACTGTGCACTTACTCCTCATGTAGGATCTCTGTCCTTAATGTGCTGTGCATTGCGATTTAATGCTATAACGAGTACCCAAACAATATATTTCACTTTGTGTTTCTATGGGGGTGCAAACTGTTGAAATCTTTACTTAATGTATACTAAACTGATCCTCTGTAAAAAAAAAAAAAAAAAAAAAAAAAAAAAAAAGAAAGAAATGATCAATTCCCAACTTGACTCTCACTGGGATTAAACATGACAATAGGTCTGCTCTGATTTCATCATCATTTAAAAAAAATCATCTATTATTTTTCACTTTATGTTTCTGTGTGGGAGCAAACTGTTGAAATCCTTACTTAATGTATACTAAGCTGATCTTCTGTATATTAAGATAATCGAAAATGAATCTTGATGTGAATGGAAGGGGAGAGGGAGTGGGAAAGGGGAGGGTTGTGGGTGGGAGGGACGGTATGGGGGGGAAGCCATTGTAATCCATAAGTCGTACTTTGGAAATTTATATTCATTAAATAAAATTTAAAAAAAATATTCTGGAAAGAAAAACAAAGAATTTTGAGTTATGATCCTTACCATTTTAATATTTTTATAATAAATATTTTCTGCTTATTCTTAAAAAAAAAGAAATATCTTAAAATAAAAATGTGAAGTAAAACTTTAAAAAAAAAAATTGACACTCTGGGCCGGCGCCACGGCTCACTGGGCTAATCCTCTGCCTAGCGGCGCCGGCACACCGGGTTCTGGTCCCAGTCGGGGCGCCGGATTCTGTCCCGGTTGCCCCTCTTCCAGGCCAGCTCTCTGCTGTGGCCAGGGAGTGCAGTGGAGGATGGCCCAAGTGCTTGGGCCCTGCACCCCATGGGAGACCAGGATAGGTACCTGGCTCCTGCCATCGGATCAGCGCGGTGCGCTGGCCGCAGCACGCCAGCCGCGGCGGCCATTGGAGGGTGAACCAACGGCAAAGGAAGACCTTTCTCTCTGTCTCTCTCTCTCACTGTCCACTCTGCCTGTCAAAAAAAAAAAAAAAATGACACTCTTGTTTATGGCGTCAGCAATCTCCCCAGGCTCTAGTCATGAGTTGCCAAGTCCATGGAAGCCCCCTGAGCTCTCGGACGTTCGTTCTTTTTTTTTTTTTTTTTTTTTGACAGGCAGAGTGGACAGTGAGAGAGAGAGACAGAGAGAAAGGTCTTCCTTTGCCGTTGGTTCACCCTCCAATGGCCGCCGCGGCTGGCGTGTTGCGGCCGGCGCACCCCACAGTTCCGATGGCAGGAGCCAGGTACTTATCCTGGTCTCCCATGGGGTTGAGGGCCCAAGTACTTGGGCCATCCTCCACTGCACTCCCGGGCCACAGCAGAGAGCTGGCCTGAAGAGGGGCAACTGGGACAGAATCCGGCGCCCCGACCGGGACTAGAACCTCGTGTGCCGGGACTAGAACCAGGTATGTCGGCGCCGCAAGCTGGAGGATCAGCCTAGTGAGCCACGGCACCAGCCGGCCCGTTCTTTCTACTGGGATCTCACTCGCAGAGATCTTTCATTTAGGTTTTGTTTTTTGTTTGTTTGTTTGTTTGGCAGAGTGTCTTGGCTGTCCATGCCTAAAATACTCTCATGGGCTCTTCAGCCAGATCTGAATGGCTTAAGGGCTGATTCTGAGGCCAGAGCACTGTTTAGGACATCTGCCATTCTATGAGACTGCTGTGTATCCCACTTTCCATGTTGGATCATTCTCTCCCTTTTTTATTCTATCAGTATTAGCAGACACTAGTATTGTTTATGTGATCCCTTTGACTCTTAGTATACATAAATACTTTAACATCAGTGATGGTGCACTTCAAGAAGTAGGTATATTTAAACCAAAGCAAAAAAGAAAAGAAAAGGTAGGAAAGAAGGGGGGGGGAAGGAAAGCGAAGGAAGAAAAGAAGAAAGTAAAAATAGTGGATAAGAAGTCAGGCTTATTTAAAATTAAATTTAAAAATACTTACTGACAGCATGTGCAGACACCAATGACCAAAACGATGAAAATGACCATGACTGCTATCAAACAGATCACCAAGATCTGTCTTCTATCCCCTCTGAGGTAAAACAAGTCAACCCTCTCACATCTTGCCCCTGTGTAGCCTTCATCACAGCTGTAAACATGAAACAACAGGAGGGAAACACAATAAAGAATGAAAGACTTTTAAGAATCTGCTTCTTTTTGAGAAAATTACTATTTTTTATTACTTAATAAAGAACACCATTCCTTTAAGGAAAAAAAAATTCACCCCTGTGTTCACAAATGATTTCACTTTCTTTGCTGTGCTGAAAACCTGTCATCACTTGGACATTATTAACATGTCGACTATAAATAAGCAAGCATAATGACAATTTGCTAACATTTATTTTGAAATTTTAGACTCTGAGTTTGAAGTGGAGAGGCTGATAAAACTCCCTCCATAACATTCCCAGTAAGAATTTCCATTTCATCATAGGGCAGCAGGAAGTTTTAGTGTACTCAAGCTCTATTACATAAATTACTTTTAAATTACATGATTTTATTTGATCAAACATGTTAATGTATATGAAGGTTCATAACCCAGTGTCCAACACATAGAAAGTTTCATAAATGTCATTTCTACAGATTCTTCCCTCTTTCCTCCACATGCACCTCTGCCCTCTCCTCTCCTCCCCTCCCCTCCCCTCCCCTCTCTTTCCCTCCCTTCTGCTCTCCTCTCTTCTCTGATTCTACCCATTGGTTGTAGTTCTATTTACTGGAAGTGAGGAGGGTCACATATGAGGTAATGCTCTTCTATTCTCCAGCTCACAAATATGTCCCCTAAAACATGACAGTTGCTATCCAATCTAGGCCCTTTATCTGATTCTTTAAGTCTACATTTTCAAATCTGTTCACCATTCCCTCTACTATCCTACTAATGGCCTTTTATCCATGACTCTCTTAAAGTGGAGAAGCCAGAAATTAAGCTAGTTTCTAGGTGGAGCTATCACTTTCCTCCTTCTCTCAGGTGCCTGTCAGTATAATCTTGGACTGCAACTCAACTCAGCAGATACCCCAGGCCTGAGGTGAGAGGTTTGGACCCATTTGACCAAGCTGGGGCTTTGGAGAGGCAACTGTCAGCAAGCCAAAGGCTCCGTGATTTGGGAACTACCCTTAGAATTCTCAGAATTGTGTCAGAAGCTTAAAAGCTATGTAAAGAGTTTGTCTGATATTTTAACCAAAATTATATTATGTAGCCACAGTGCTGTTGCATTAGTAAGTATTTCCCAGGGTGGATGGTTGGCACAGGATTTAAAATTTCATTTGGGAAGCCAACATTCCATATTGCAGTGCCTAGGTTCAAGTCCCTAGTCCACTTCCAATTCTAGCACGCTGAGATGCAGCAGGCACTTTCTCAAATACTTGGTTCCCTGACACTCCTGCGGGTGACCAGATTGGCTCCTGGCTTTGGCCTGGGCCAGCCCTGGGTTTTGTAGGCATTTAGGAAGCAGCAGAGGGAAGATCTCTGTTGGTCTCTATTCCTTTTCCTACCCACTCTCTCTACTCTCTCTCCCTTTCCAATAAAATGAATAAGCATTTAAAGTGCCTAGCAGAAGTCAAAATGGAAATTTTTTAACAAAAGAAGTATTCCCCCTTCTTCTCTTCAAATGCATTTAAAACATGAAGAGATATTAGTCATATGCATAATAATTTAAATATCAGAAAGATTAAATTCTGCTCTTCGAAAATATTTCTGTGCAAACTTTTTTTTAAGGAAAGATTTATTACCAGGCTGCTCTATATCTTATACTTGACAAGAGCCTGGGCAGTTAATTCCCACAAACCCTGTATTTCTCAAGTTAGGCGATCCCTTAACACCAATAAGGTAGCTGACACAATGCTTTAAGAAACAAACAAAAACAAGCTCAGTAACACCATCAATTGAAAAGTGAGGTGCAACACAAACAAAATAGAAAAAAACACCTAATGCCAGCTATTCCAAAAAGACCACAGTAGGAATGAGAAAATTGCTTCCTACAAGATAGCTGGTTATCCTCATTCCAAGGTCAAAATAAAAGAAAGCAAGTTTAGAAATATCTTGAAATACAAAAATCTGTTGGACATAGTATTGAAATTGTTGCAGGGCATAGGGGAATCACCTCTTCTTGCACATGCGTGAGGAGAGATTTTCTAAAAAGGTTTTTCAAGGTCATAATTAAACCTTACAAATATAGTCTCATCCAATTGGCTTAAATATTCCTCTAACAAATTGACTAGGGGGATGGTATTTTTAAACAACAGTTTTGCCCATAAAATGCTCAGCAATTACTGGCTGTTCTTTCAGAATGTTTTCCTAATTATAAGCTCTGGGTTCAGTGGCTTGACCATGGTTTAATTGAATTTCTCAGCAAGCAGTACTTCTTGTAAGCTGTAACTCAATGAAGCCATGCTGGAAGGTCAAACCTTAACCAAGCCGGTTACCGTGGCTCTCATGTAATTTCACTCTTCAGCAAACCATTGCGTATCAGCTGATGGCTATGCTCAACAAGTGTGACTCCTGTTTGGGAGAGGAAGAGGCAATGGGACCAAGATCATAGTGCTTATTTAATGGTGACTAATTGGATATATGGGTTTTTATATAAGATGACAATCGATTTAAATAAGATAAAATCGAAAATTAAAAAATAATTTTTAAAGATGACCCTGACTTTCGAGGGACTGCAAAGTCAGACTTTTGGGATTATTGTACTGAAATTATCCCTGAGAGACTTATAAATATTACCTCAAGCAGTATGTCAACCTTCAAGGTAGATGGTAAACTAACCCCATTTTACAGATGAAGAAACTGAGGTACAGAGAAATTAAGTGAATGGGGCTAAGATTCAAACATAGCCTTTCTGACTCCGAAATTCCATACCCTAAATTGCATGTAAATAATTTGTGTTAAATAAAAATTGTGTGTGTGGAAACAAATTATCCCAACTCCAAGTGAAACACTGAGAAGACCAACAGGGATTTGAATTATCAGAAACACATTTTGGTTTTTCATATAAAAACAGGAATCTACAAACTCTGATGAGCCCAAGCAAGGGAGATATTTCTGGCTTCACAAGATGACTTTGTCACCAGTGCTGAGACAGATTTGCCTGAATCCATGCTATACCAAGTCACCCAGGAGGTTAGGCCTGGATTGAATATCTACCGCTGCCCTCAGTGGTACAATTAGAGAGCTCCTACTCTGTGCTGGGTACCACAATAAGCAGTTCTGCCTTTATTGTTTGACTGAATCTTCAACACGTGAGTAGAAGGTATTAAAACTGAGGCTCAGGATAGGTAATGGACTCACTGTTAATACTGCTTATCATTGGTGGAAACAAAACCTTATTTTAGGTCTGACTCCAAAATCTATGCAATAACCTTAGAGCTCTTCTGTCTCCCATTGATGCTAAAGGATTCCCCCACTAAGATGGTGTTCCTGGCTCAGATAAAGGACTCAGTTTTGAATTCAGCAAAAAGTGTTAGATGGACTTTGATAGAAGCACTTATTCATTCATCAGTTACTTCTTGCACCCCTAGTGAATTCTAGGCACTGAGGTTACAACTGATACACAAAAATGAATAAGCCACAGCCCTTCCCCTAGAAGCTCACAGTCAAGGAAACCAACAGCTATTTTCCACTGGAATACAGTTCTCATTAAGCGTGACTACACTGCAGAAGAAGGACATCCAGCTTAGACTTGGGCATGTGAAGGGGTCTAGAGAACCTGACATTTGAATTGCACCTTAAGCTGTCAGGAAAAGTTTGCTTTCCAGGCAATGAAAAGAGTTTGTATACAAGCCATGGGAGGGCCGGGCATTGTGGTGCAGCAGCTTAAGCCACCACCTCCAGTGCCACCATCCCCTGTGGGTGCCGTTTGGAGTCCCAGCTGCTCCACCTCTTATCCAGCTCCTCCTAACAAGCCTGGGAAGGCAGCAGCAAATTACTAAATGCTTGGGCCCCTGCACCTATGTGGGAGACCCAGATGAGCCTCCTGTTTCCTGGCTTCAGACCAGCCGAGCTCCAGTCATTGTGACCATTTGGGGAGTGAACCAGCCTTTCTCTCTTTCTCTTTCTCTTTCTCTTTCTCTTTCTCTTTCTCTTTCTCTTTCTCTTTCTCTTTCTCTTTCTCTTTCTCTTTCTCTTTCTCTTTCTCTTTCTCTCTCTCTCTAACTCTGCCTTTCAAATAAATAAAATAAATCTCAAAAAATAAATAAATCATAGAAAAGAATGTAGGATTTAGGAAACACTTGAGAATATGGTGAACAACTTTGCTGGAAAGTTAAGCCAAGATCAGAGGAGATCTGGAGGCCAAGGAAATGAGTTCTAAGCTCAAACTCAAAGGGATAAGCAGTGGATTGATCTCAGGGAGTAGATTATACAATGTGACATTCATTTAGAAGGCAGCAGTATTAGAGAACAAGAAATCTGAAGACAAAGGAAGGAGGTAGAAAATGTACTGGGTTAAATTTAAGGGCATTGATATTTGAACAAAAAAATGCTCCCAGGCCAATGAAAAATCAAATGAAATTTTAAAAAATCATATTTACACTCCATAACAGCTACACACACATCCCTTTTCTTGTTTTCTTATATTTGCAATCCTTATCTCTAATTTTTATCAATGCATTTTTATTTTTAAAATAAACTTAGCTGTAATTTTTGAAGAAACCTAGGCCCCTTAATGTTTCCAAAAATTAGAATTTAGAATCCCTGTTCTGAGATACTTATGGAAAAAAATTTATGCATTCTGTGAATTTTAGTTCAAAGTTGGAAAGAATCACCTCACTTCTCTAAAAAAAAAGTCCCAGAGAGCACTTTACAGGAACATATTTTTTTAAAAGTGACTTTTAGAAAGATGCAAAATAGAATTGTGTGTGCCTGAGAAGAACTTGGACTCTTAAGTAACAAAGAGTTGGGAAGAGAGATTTTTCTCCCAATTCACTACTATGCTAAACCAGCTTTGCTAATTATCATTAAAAGTAGGACTGACTCCTTTGCACTGAACTGCCACCTGCAAAAGTAGCTTTTAATTTGGCAGGATCTCCTTCATTTTCACATGACTGCAAACCACATAACACGGAGCAGAAGAATCGTTTCCATCCGAACAACTCTGGAGAATATTTGAGCTGAAAAGCATCTTCAACAACGGGCAGAATCAGCTTTGCTTGCATAAGGAAGCACAGGACACTGCCCAGCCTGGAAGTGGCTCTGAACTTGCACACACTCATATTTCAGGAGGAAAGTGTGCGTCAGATTCTCCATAAGGAGCTGCCGAGAGGGCCCCTAAACGAGCGGCTGGGGGCAGGACCAGGCGGAACCGTGTCCGGACAGATGGCACAGTTAGCTCAGACTTTCCAGTCCTGCCAAGCCCTGGGCAGATACCGCTCTGCACTCCTTTGACTGCTGGCTCTGGACACCACACTTACATGCATGAGGGGGTCTGCTCGGCCACCACGAAGCGACATCTCCCTTTGATGCAGTAATGCTTATATTGCTTGGGACACCGAGAAAAATGTCCTTTCCGCTTAGGCTGCACAGTGGTAGCTGGAAAATGAGAGAAATGCCAATAAATCAACCCATTTTACTGGTAAATCTAATCATATTCTTATATCAAGACCAGTTTTGTTGTTGTTGTTTCTCCCCCCCCCCCCCCCGGAGAAGAATAAAATCTCATTTCTGCTTCTCTCCACACTAGGATAAAGTTCAGATTTTGGTAACTCCCAAAATAACTATAGAAATTGGGCAATAGGACTTGAGCTGTTTCACATTTTAAATAACAGTTATGTCCAATCTACCTTTCAGAAATGTTGATGTCATTTGCAGAGTGAAATGTAGATATTAGAGAAAAAGCCTGCATTCTTTGCAAGTTAGCAGAGCTATGCTTACAGAAAAGAGGTCTCAGATCGTTGGTTGGTTGATTTTGTTGTTATTTTTCAGCTTAAACACAGATGCTTCAACCAGGTGGTGGTCTATTTGCTTCTCATGAATTATCTCAGTGCTCTTAGCAGACTTGTAAGGTGAGTAGCATTCTACATAATCAGCAAAGCACAGCACATACAGGGTGTCACCTTTCCAGATCACACAGCTAGGAAGGGCAGAGCTGGGTCTCAAATGAGGCAATCTTGTCCCCAGAAACCATGCTCTTGACTGCAACACGCAGGTGCTCTGTCAGCCTCGCTGTCAAGCACATATCTGTCACCTACTCTCAGTCTGCTGCAGCAGAAGTGTCATGCCTGCCTCAGGGAGCTCACGCCTTCCACTTGGCCTCAGGAGGTTTCCCTTGCTCTGAAGGAGAAGGAAAACGCTAGAGCTTCATTCCTCGATTTTAGTTCCAAGGGGACTTCCTTGCTTTACCTTTTTAGAGCCTTGACTGCCTAAGTTTTTAAACTGAAGATAAATAATATGGAACAATTTCCCCAGCACACACATGTAAAAATTTCAGTGAATAATTATTGTGGAGAGGAATGTTACAGAAATACTAACTAGCCATTTCAGCTGCTGATTCATAACTGAAGTAATGTCCATATCCAGAAAAAACAGCTAACCGAGGGTCAGACCTCCTTCATTCATGGTATAGCTCACAGCCTGCAGGACTCACACACCGGTGCAACCACAAAGACCACACTGTTCACTTAGGAAAGGTCATTCACATGAGCTTGGGTCTAGCAATGGCATCCAAATGACATTAAAGAAATCTTTCATTAATGGCAGGGGCCATTAAACGTCTCAAATAGTACCATAAAATGGGTGTATTTATTTACCAGGGCCACCAAAGAGAGGACTTCAAATGCTCTCTGAACTGTAAATTCCTGAGACTATGAGACAGTTGTCCACCAGTGTCCAAAGAGGATTGGCTCCAAGCTCTCTGAGCATACCAAAACCTCTGCATGCTCAAGCCTCTTGTACAAAATTGTGCAGTATTAGCATATAACCTCTGTTCATACTGCCATATAGTTTAAATCATCTCTAGGTTACTTATAGTAGTTAATACAATGTATATGCTATGTCATATATATGCTATGTCAATAGATGGTGTATTATATGGTTTAGAGAACAATGACAATGATGTTTTGTACAGATGTAAATTTTTTTCCAAATGTTTATTATCTATGTTTGGTTAAATTCACAGATGTGGAAGCTTTGGATACAAAGAGTCATTGTGCAGAGTTCTAGCAGGTGGCAGAATGTTGGTGAGAAACTGGCCGACCTGGTTTTGGTCATCAACTTGATCTCCACCCATGCTGACTGCTGGGACATTCCACATAGTTGCTCCTATGCATGCCAATCAATGGGAGTGAAACTTCTAGAAATAACTGGTAAGTGAGTCAAGGTCAAATACCTATGTATTTTCACAAATAAATTGATAAGTCAAGGTGAATGTTTCCTATTTCCAGAGCCTCTATAATAGCCACTGACTGAGAAGCATTGAAGAAATAAAGGATACACTGTTTAGTAAAATTGCCATGATAGAGCAAGTTAAAAATGAAACTACGCAATCAACCCCTAAAACCAACCATAGTAACCATATAAACAGTTGTAGTATACTAGAAATAGGAACAAGAACACTGGATTGGGGGCAGGAATCAAGGCTCAACCTTTGGCTCTGCCTTTCATTAGCTGCATGATCTGGGCAAGTTAATCAAGCTGTCTGTGCCCTAGTTTCTTCACCTACAAACTGAAAATAACATCCACCATGAAAGGCTGTTGGGAGGCAAAAAATAACAAATATATGTGAGAGGTAGGCATTTGGTGTCACAGTTGGGAGGCCTACATCCCATATCAAAGTGCCTGGGCTTAAGTCTCAGTTCCATTCCTGATTCCAGCTGCCTGCTAATGCACAACTGGGCTGCACATGATGGGCCAAGTTGTTGAGCCCCTGTCATTCATATGAGAAATGTGGGCAGTGATCTCAGCTTCTGGTTTTGGCTTGGCTCAGCCCTGGCTGCTGAGGGCATTTGGGAGATCTCTGTCTATTTCTGCCTCAGCCTCTCTCTCTCTCTTTCTCTCTCTCTCTCTCTCTCAAACTTTATACATATATGTATACATATGCACATGTATATAAATACATAATATATATAGCATATTCCTCTCAGAGTTGCTTACACCATGAAGTCCTCAGTAAATGAATTGATTCTAGAATATTTTTAAATTATTTATTTATTTATTTATTTGAAAGGCAGAGTTCAAAGAGGCAGGGAGAGACAGAGCAAGAGCAAAAGCAAGAGTGGGCGAGAGAGAGAGAGAGAGAGAGCCATCTTCTTTCTGTTGGTTTGCTCCCTAAATTATCTCAAGGCCAAGGGCTGAGCCAGGTCAAAACCAGGAGTTAGAATTTTCATCCATGTCTCCCATGTGGGTGCAGGAATCCAGGCATCTTCTGCTGCTTTCCCAGGCATATTAGCAAGGAGCTGGATCAGAAGTAGAGCAGCCAGGAACTGAACTAGTGCCCATATGGGATGCAGGCATTGCAGGCAGCTGCTTAACCCACTATACCACAACACTGGCCCTGATTATAAAATTTTAAATATTTTGGCAATCTTAAGAAAAATCTTCTGTAAATACGAATGTTTATCACAATGCTTATGTGATCAAAGAACAATTTCTGGAAAATACGTATTTTAGGAGGAGATGAGCAAGCAGTTGAGTTTTGGAGAATGTCAGGACAAAGGCAGAGTCAGACACACTGCAGGTAGATGTCATTGCAATGGAAGAGTCAGCAAGAACAGCAGCCAAAGATGACTGTGAATGACACTTAGAAACTCAAATGTCAGTAGGCTAAAGTGTTTACGTATGAAATACAAGGCCAGGAGAGCTGAAAATTGTTTTATGGATGAAGATCTTTTTTTTTTTTAGATTTATTTATCTGTTTGAAAGAGTTATAGTGAAGCAGAGGCGCAGAGGCAGAAAGAGAGAGAGAGAGAGAGAGAGAGAGAGAGAGAGAGACAGAGAGAGATTCTATCACTCCCCAAATGGCCACAATGGCCAGAGCTGAGCTGACCCAAAGCCAGGAGCCAGGAGCTTCTTCCAGGTCTCTCACATGGGTGCAGGGGCCCAAGGACTTCAGCCATCTTCTGCTGCTTTCCCAGGCCATAGCAGAGAGCTGGATTGGAAGTGGAACAGCCGGGACTCGAATTGGTGCCCATATGAAATGCCAACACTGCGGGCAGCATCTTTATGTGCTGTGCCACAGTGCCAGCCTCCAGAGATGGTTCTTATGGTATGTGTAAAAAGTACATTAACTGTGAAGCACTGAATGAATGAATTAACTAGCAAATTAATTACCTACTCTGGATTAGAGTAGGAAGATGCCTGGGGCCGGGAAAACCGGGGAATACCTGAGTCATGCAGACAGGTGTGATATGAGGAAGGAGATGAATTCAAGACACAGCAAGATTTTATAACTCATCTTCCATCTTCCAGAAGGGACTTCCCGGCTACCTGAAACACACCTGCCTTAAATTTATAACCTGTTTGGCTCTGTTTTCTGAACTTTACCAATTCCTCTAGGAACTCTACCCCCTTAAATGCACCCAGACTTTTAATAAACATCACGCATAGTGTGATACCAGAAAGCGCGTTAACCAGCGGCTGCTGGATTCAGTGCTTTGATCAGCCTTGCTTCATCCAAGCAGCCTAAATCCATGCCAGGGGACTGTTGCCAAGTCCTGCTTTGGTTGCTCACAGAGTGCCCTCCTTTTCCAAAGAAGCATTCTTAAGTATTCCCAGCATTATTTTGGATTTAAAACCCTTTCCACATCACCAGGCAGAAAATGCCCAGTGATTTCTCTAATGGAAATTTATAACCTGAAAGGCAAACAAATCACAAGGAAAGGGGGACTCTTTTCTTCCTCTCCCACAGCAATGGAAAGCTTATCAGTATTCTCCCTTGCAAACTGCACCTAGAAGTCCGGTTGCTTTTCATCTAGAATTCATCAAGGTTCTGTTATCTGACAATGGAATAACTGTGAAGCCTAGCATTTTCCACCTACCATGAGATGTGATGATATAGGGTAAGGAAGGGCAAAAACTGCCCTTCCGTTCTAGCGATGCTTATCAAGAAGGAGAAAAAGCTAATCCTAGCACAGAAGAATGATTAGTCCCAAGTATTACGTTTCTCTCTTGAAGAAATGGTATAGTCTCAAAAACGAAGCAGCTGGAAACTTGTCTAGGGTCCTGAGGGTAGCGACACTTCATTGACCATTGTTTCTCCTATCTTACCTTTTTCTTTTTTCTCTTCTCTCACTCTTTTTTTTTTTTTTTACACGTAGAGTAAACACTGAGAGAGACAGAGAGAAAGGTCTTCATTCCGTTGGTTCACTCCCAAATGGCCGCAACAGCCAGCGCTGCGTCCATCTGAAGACAGGAGCCAGGTGCTTCTTCCTGGTCTCCCATGCGGGTGCAGAGCCCAAGCACTTGGGCCATCCTCCACTGCCCTCCAGGGCCACAGCAGAGAGCTGGACTGGAAGAGGAGCAGCTGAGAGAAAGGTCTTCCTTTACCATTGGTTCACCCCCACAATGGCCACTGTGGCTGGTGCGCTGCAGCCGGC